TATTATGGAAAAATCCTGATGTTTAGAAGCCATGGATGAATTCATCCCAACCATCCCATTCCCGGAGCTGTATTTCTTTCTTTTCCTGGCTTTGGATTTCAGATAGCCCACTGAAGAGTACTTAAACCAAAACCAGGGAATCAGGAGCCATCTGCGCATTCACACGAGGAATAAATATGCCTGTGTATTGTAGGAGAGAGCTTCGACAGGATCGCTGACCTTAATCCTGCCCCCATTATTTAATTTTCTCCTTCAGAAATTAATACGGATGTCTCCCCAGCACAGCCAAAGCACCCAGCATAACCCATTTCCCTGCCAGACAGAAATTATTATTTATTTTCTTTTAACATAATCTGGCCAGACAGATAAACAAGCGTATGGAGCATCGGGGTGGAAATCCTCTTTACGGCCAGATGTGCTCCGCAGTCCAGGGGTGGGAGCGCCATCGGGACGGCCGTACCTGGCCCAGCTGTTTCAGGCAGCAAAACCTCGGTAGGGTTTTGGCTCTATGGCGTGGCCGTGCCGAAATCAGTCTCTGCAATTAGTTTCAAGCTTCATTTGCATCTCCCAACCGCCACGCGAGCATCCCGGGTTGCTCTGGACTCAGCCCGTTTATTACAGCCCATCCTAACCCTAAAGGATGGCAATAACTCCCCAACCTGGTCCTTAGATCTCTATAGCCACACATACCCTTACGCTCCGAAAAAGGGTGCCGTAAAAGCCCCAGCTTGTCATGAGCATCCCATACAACTTTTAATTGCCTTCTGTGGCTTTCCCTCCCATTAAATATTGGGGTACCTCAACATAAAGCATGACCGCGCTGCGCAGGAGTGAGTTTAACTGCTCTGGAGCGAGACAAACTCAGAAGACAGATTCATCCTTTCCCCTGTAGGTCTGAGCCTGTTTTATTTTCTATCCATCAACCTGCAGAGCATCCCTCTGTTTCACAGGATAATGGATTTGGAGCTGCAGCCGGCAACCACTAAAAGCATCCGTTCCTCTCCCAGAACCCCGACCCCGAGATTTCCAAACCGGCCCCAAACCCTGCCGACCCCATCCATATTTCTTGAAAAAACCATCCAAGCGCTGCAATTTTCCGAGATTTCCAAACCAGCCCCAAACCCTGCCGATCCCATCGATATTTCTTGAATAAACCATCCAAGCGCTGCGATTTTCCAGCCACCCGTTTGGTCACCGGCGTCGCCTCCCATGCCCGTATCTGCCGGGAGGGATGATGGGGGGGTGAACCCAAATTTTGCGGGGTGCTGGCCGTGGTTTTCCCTAGGGAAGGAGGACGGGTGCTGGCCAGGCTGTGCAGGGCTGGGCTGCGCAGGAGCCAGCTCCTCCCTCTTGCTATTTATTCCTCCCCGTGGCTCTGCGGCCGAGGCTGAATCACACGGAACCGAGCAAGCAACGGGCTCCCAGCCGGTGAGTGTCAGGGAATATGGGACGCGGGGGCTTCGGGTGGGATAAACCCAGAGGTGAGGGGGCTTTTAGCACCGAGCAGCATCACAGGGGATGGGGGGCTGCCTCCTCTCCCCACCATCGCCGCCTAAAAATAGACATTTCCAGCTCCGATGGCGAACGTCCTCCTTAAGAGACCGAGCTCTGCTTCTCAACGCTAGTTGTTTATTCAGGGCTAATTCAAAGCTGATGCTGGTGGGGAATTTCTTCCCCCTG